GACCCACTGTGTGGTTATTTATCCAGTTCTTGAATGCATAATTAGAAGAGATACACGTTTAGACATAATAGATATACTTGGCAACTGGCAAAATCCTTACATTGGCTCTTTGACCCATGGAATAAGAACCATAACAGTAGAAAGAAGGAAGCTTCTGGAACCTTTCTATCCTACCAGGAGAGTAACCAAAATGAATGACATATCTTCAGGGAACTTGCAGAGATTAGTGTCCATCACCAAGACTTGGAAAGATGCATGAGTGGTGATACCTATCACATTCTCACTTAAGTGGCCTGTTTGTCCAATGCAGAAGGAAGATCTTGACAAATATCTGAGGATAATCATAAGCTTAATCAGGAGGTGATTTCAGTTGTAGTTAATGTTCTACATGTAGTATTTTTACCGAAGCCAATTAACACTCATGTGGGGAGATAATAAAAGTAGTTTGGGATGGGTTGAAGAGTGATGGGGGGTGGGTATAGAGAGGGTTAGAACCATGGTCAATCGGTGGATAGTAAGGCCAAGTTTGCTGAGATAGGAGGATCTCAAAGCAGCCGATTTATGATGGATTTGTATGGAGTTCAGTTGTAAACACATGGAGTTTGAAATGTCTTTGTATTTTCAATGCCTAATTTGATGACTGGTATTTGTGAATGGGTCATGATTGACTATGACTTCAATAATTTTTCATTTCTTTATCCTAGTTATTCTTCTTCATACAGTTGATAAACACTAAACTTGGTAATTGAAGGAGGAAATGGTATTGCCAGACTTCTTATAAAAGCAAGTTTGTTCACCTACCCCAAATGAGACAGGACTGTGTAGTTTAGGAGCACAGACTAAATGCTCAATATACTGGGGCCAAATCTGCGTACAGTCACTTAGAACTGTAGGACTCAGGGCATGCCTAAGACTCCCTCTTGGCCTTTGTTTTCCTGTTTGTAAGTTGTTTTACCATACCTACTTCCTAGAGTGGTAATGATGAAATAAAATAATAAATTACAATAGCACATGGCCAGGCTCACCATCAGTAATCAATAAGTTCATTCCTTCCAGCCCAACATAGAGAAGTATAAGGCATTGCAGAGAAGCTCCATGCTCCTTCCATGCTTTTTGGTTCTCGGAATTTTCAGCGTATCATTCAAATAGGAAACACACATGACCTTTGCTCCATGGCTGTAAAATAATCAGTGGTGCAACATGGCAGGTCCCTAGGATGATCTAGGCAGGCAGTGAAATAAGAAATTGATAAATGGAGGTAGACACCAAAAAAGCCTACATAAATTCCACTATAAGAAGAGCAAGTGAGGGCGCCTGGGTGGCTCAGTTGGTTAAGCGACTGCCTTCGGCTCAGGTCATGATCTCGGAGTCCTGGGATCAAACTCTGCATGGAACCCCGCATCAGGCTCCCAGCTCAGTGGGGAGCCTGCTCCCCCCTCTGACCCTCTCCCCTCTCATGCTGTTTCTCTCTCGCTCGCTCTCTAATAAATAAATAAATAAATAAATAAATAAATAAATAAATAAATAAAATATTTAAAAAAGAAGAGCAAGTGAGCTAAGGGAAAGGGAGAAGTTCAGGGAAAAGAAATAGCATGAAATAATTTAATAAATAGTATACAGAATTAATTTTCCCTTGTGGAGAAACATGATGGCTAAAGCAAGGTTTTGATAAAAAGACATGATTTAATTACAAAAAAGATTTTTTCTGCCAGTAATTCCACCTAGCAAAATATAAAATGTGTCAAGCTGCAATGTTGACATTTCCAAATAGAGTAGACTTGTATACCAATGAGAACATTTAAATCGTTTTTCCAATCTTGCACAATTTTAGATGTTTCTACTTTTATACATTTTTTTAAATGACATGTGAGTCTCCCAGATATAGTTCTGTGATTAATATTACTGAGGTTAGGAAACAGGTCTGAGCACCTGAAATACCTAAAAGTACCAAAAAGTCTAAATACCTATAAAAAGAAAAAAAAAAACAACTAGAGCATGAGCATCTATCTCTATGGGTACCTGATACAAATGCTTGACTCCATTAGACTTCACAGCATTTTACTGAGGGCATAAAGCATTCCTGGTATTGAGAAAATCTAATATAGTTCTTGGCCTCTGTACGGTAGTTCTTAACAAATATTTATTAATAAATAACATAATTATGCTGAGAAAAACAACAGTAGCTTCTTGGATTAATACTTTTAGGAGATTAATTGTCATTTAATTTTGTGTAATTGCAATTGATTTATTGCAGAAATGTGTACCTGGCATTTCATCCCTCTACTGCGAGGTGCTTGAACCACGTGGCCCCTTTCAGTGGTCTCCATTGCTGCCATCTGACTTTATAAAAGAGGGTTTCATTTTTATACAGTGTTAGTGGGAATACAAAATTGGTACAATCTCTTTGGAGATAAATTTGTTAATGCTATTAATTTTTTAAAAAGCCTTTAATTAAACAATTCCACCTCTAGAAACTTATACCTCTACAAAGTTGAATGGACAAGGATAATCAAAGCTTCATTGTTTATAAACCAAAAAACTGGCAACAACCTAAATGTCCATGGGAAAGGTTACATGAATAATGATGCATCTAGCTAATGGAATTTTCGGCAGCTGTTAAAATGAGGTAGAATTTCTTTACTGCCACAGAAAGATCTTTAGAGGAATATTAAGTGAAAACAGTTTGCATAAAAATAATAATGATAATTGTAATTATTATTATTATAAACACTTGTGAGGTATGTACTATGTTCTAAGTATTTTACCTTTATTAACTCATTCAATTCTCACCACAACCCTATGAAGTGGGTGTTACTGAAATCCTCATCCTATGGATAAGGAAACTGAGGCACAGTATTGTCAAGTAACTTGTCCAAGGTCACAAAATTAGTGTCAGAGGCAGTGTCTGGCTTGAGGCTCAGTGTTCTTACCTGGTTCTATTCCATGCATGTTAAAAAATGCATAAAAATCCATGTGTGTAAGTATACATGTGTATGTATATGGATATGTACATACATATGTATTCATATGTGTATGGAACATGGCACTAAATACAACCTCTAAACTGTTAGCAGTTGCTTTCTTTAAAGAGTTGGTAGAAGAGGAAGAGGGGAAGATACTTTTTATATGATACAAGTTTATTTTGCTTGTTTGCTTTTATTATGAGGGATATTATTTTTATAGTAATTTTTTGATGGCTGTTTCTCAAAATATAACTTTCTAGTTATTTTTCTTCTGCTGCTAGCAATTAAGGAAGACATCTGCCCATTTTCCTCATTGTTAAAAAGTTATTCATTCAGCAAAACATTTAAACTGTGCTAGGTGTCCCTGACTGTCCTTGTCCTTAGGGAGCTCACTGTCTACTGGAACAGACTGACATATAAACATGTAATCCCAGAACTTCTGTAATGGGGATGTACAAGGATGGGGTGGGAGGGGCACAAAGGAGAGATATCAATTCTGTGGAAGGCATGGAGGGGCAGTGTGAAAGAAGGTACCCAAAGAGGAGGTAATGCTTTGCCTAAATAACAAAAGAAAAGTAAGAGTTCTTCAGGAAACAGGGGAGAGGAGGGAGAGAAAAAGCATCCCAGAAGGAGGGAAAAATGGGAGTAAAGACACAGAGGCAGGAAGCCACATTGTTCTTCATGGGACTGGGCATAGTTTAATTTAGTTGCAGCTTATGGAAGGAAATGTGAGGAGCACCTCTGGAGATGTGGGCAGAAGGAACATCCCCTAAGTTCTTGTGGGCCATGTTAAGAACTTCATTCCGTGTACCAGTGTTTCCTAAGGAATATTCAAAGAACAAAGGTGTTCGCGGAAAAACTCAAAAGGTAAGGATCAAAAGATATACACAGAATGGAGTATTATCTAGCCTTAAGAAGGAAGGAAATTCTGACATATCCTAAAAGCGGATGAACCTTAAAAGCATTACGCTAAGTGAAATGTCAGACACAAAAGGACAAATACCGTATGATTCCACTTACATGAGGTACCCAGAATAATCAAATTCATAGAGACAGAAAGAATAGGGTTACTAGATTTTGGGGCGAGTAGGAATGGGAATGACTGTTTAGTGGTTACATAATTTCAGTTAGAGATAATGCAAAAGTTCTGGAGATGGGTAGTGGTGAGTTGCACAACCATGAATGTACTCAATGCCGCTGAACTGTACACTCAGTGGTAAAATGATAAACTTTATACTAAGCATATTTTACCATAATAAAAAAAGGTTGAAATGGCAAATTTTATGTTATGTACACTTTACCACAATTACAAAATATGGGATAAAAGAAATAAAAACGATAAATAATTCAAATTCAATTCTTTTTTCTTTTTTGACATTAAAATTAGGTACGTCATTTCTTTCCTCAAGATGATAATAATGATTTGTTTCTGTTATGTAATAATGGCTGCCACTTACTGAAAACTAGCTGTGTGCTAGTTTTACATCCATAGAGATAAAGAGATGCTGGCCCAGAGAGGTCAACTAATTGATCCAAGAGCACGCGGTTAGTGAGGGGGCATTTCTGGGATCCTAGAATCGGAACTTGCTCTGTCACCAATCCCCAAGTTGCTTGATTATCCTACTACTTTTTTTAGATGTGTCTACATTTTTCTTAAGCAAGTTTTCCCTTGATCTGCAAAGAAGGTATTGTTTGGTGTTTTCTGGGTTCAGAAAATGTAAGAAGCCTGAGGGAATGCAGAATGAAATGTTTGTTGAGTGTTTCCTTTTATCCCCGTATGATACTTTTTAAGTACTTTGACCTTCTTAAAGAGAGACCAAAAGAGCATTCAAAGGGAGTCTAGACGCTCCCACCACAGAGAACTACTTAGCCAGCCACCTGTTACCGAGGGGAGGATGGTCTGTACTTTTGTTGCGGTTGTTATCTGGAGAATACGGCTCCGGGGCCCCGGGCCGCCAGCTTCCCCGGCTTTAGATACGCTGCCGCAGAGACCCCGCGCAGACTCGCGCGCAGGCGCGAGACGGTGGCGGCGTTCTGTGGCTGTGCTTTGGCGCTTGGCGCTCCGGTGTTCCCGAGTGGTTTCCCCCTTGTCCTGTTCTCTGCGCCCGAACTCAGAGTCATCGCTGCCCCTTCTCCAGGCCCTCTCCAGCCCATGCCTAGGCCAGTCCCGGCGCGGCCCCTACCCTCTGACCCTGCGTTGCCTAATGCCCGAGCAAAGTCCCCAAGGGTGTAAAACCCGGCCTTCCTGCCCCTGGGCGGGGACGGGCGGCCACGGTTCAGGGAGCTGAGGCGGCGAGGGCGCAGCCGGCACAGTCTACCGGCCAGGGCCCCGCGAGTCCCCTGGGAGCAGGCCCCCCGCACCGCTCAGCCCCACCGCCAGGCCCGCCCGCCGCCGCCGCCGCCGCAGCCATGGCGGAAGTTCATAGACGTCAGCATGCCCGGGTTAAAGGAGAAGCCCCCGCGAAATCCTCCACACACAGACATGAGGAGGAGCTGGGGATGGCGTCGGCCGAAACGCTGACGGTGTTCCTGAAGCTGCTGGCCGCCGGCTTTTACGGCGTGAGCTCCTTCCTGATCGTGGTGGTCAACAAGAGCGTGCTCACCAATTACAGGTAGGGCCGGGGCGGCGGCCGCGGCCGAGGCCGTGGGGAGGAGCGCCCGGCGGCGGCGGCGGCGGCGGCGACGGGGCGCCGGCTCCTTGGACTAATGCTGCTAAAGTTGAAGCTGAACAAAGTTGGGCGGGAGCTGGGGAGGGCGGGCCGTGAATGAGCGGCCCGGGCGGCGGGGCCGGCTTGGCGCGCGGGCCCGGGGTGCGGGTCCAGCTCCGGGCGCGAAGCTCTGGACCGCCCCGCGCACGTCTCGACCGCGGTGGGAAAGCGCCCGCCGAGCAGCGCCCTGGAAACCTTGCTCTTCAGAGCGATGGAGCGGAGTTGCTTCGTGACTTTTGGCTCTTGTGCATGCCAGGCTGGGAGCAGAGCGAGGGATGCCCTCCCTTCCCTGCAGCCTGGGCCGGGGTCCGGGGCTTCAGGGTCCTCGAGTTCGCTGGCGGTCTCTGGGGATGGGCGCATCCTTAAGCTCATTTAAGACGATTCTGCTGCTGTCACTGGGACCCTGAGGCAGAAGCAGAAGCATGTTTGTTTTAAAGATGTGAAACCGTTGAGACCCACGTCTTCACCCATTGCAGGCAGCTGACTGAAATTGTGGACTCCGACAAGATGAGACAAGTGGCCGCCCGAGGCTACAAAATCAGCGGTGTTGCCTGACAACCAGCAGGGATTTTTTTCTCACATTTTCATTTGGATAAGGGGCATATGTTGGTGTTTGTTTCAAAATATATTTTAAGGTTGTAGATGTGCAAATTGAATTCACAGAGCTGCGTTTGGGTTTTTCTGACCATGTATTTTTTTTTCCTCTCTCTCTCTCTCTACCTTTTTTGTAGATTTCCCTCCTCACTATGTGTTGGACTTGGCCAGGTTAGTTGGAATCTTCAGCATTACGTGGTTTATGTCGTTAGAACTTCTGTGTGTGTCTTTATATGTAGAACAGTGAATCTGTGTTCTCTGTTTACAGATGGTGGCCACAGTGGCAGTTCTCTGGGTGGGAAAGGCGCTCAGAGTAGTCAAGTTTCCTGACTTTGACAGAAATGTACCTCGAAAGGTAAAACAAAACAAAACAAAACAAAAAACATCTTATTTTCTGAAAACAAATCACTATATATTTTTATCAGTTCTCTGCATATTTAAAAATGGCAATCTTGAAATCGCCCAGAGTAGGTATAATGAAGGTAAAGAATAAATGTAGTAATATGTGTTTTAAAAAGTCCTACCAACTCTTTAAAATTAAGGGAAAAAGGCCCCCAGAAATCTTGTGTTTTTTAATTAATGAACACTTGCTGGGAGTACAGCTGTTTTGCATTTTTTACGTCCATCTAATCTAGCTGGTGTATCCTACATTCATTATTCTTTGGGTTTATTTTCTTACTATTCTGTCTGCCTCTGCTTGACTCCACATGAAGATGAAATGCCTTTTTCTGCTGACAGTAGAGCCATGGGCTAATATATTATCATATTTTAAAGCAAATGATGTTTCTCTTTCATATGGTTTGATCATATTCATATTTCTGTTTCTTTTTTCTTCTCCATTCTTCCCTCTGTTTGCCATAGTAGTGCTCTTATCCAGGAATAATGTTTTTTGGGTTCTTCATGGGGGCCAAAATTGTGTATGAGTTCTAATCTTATGTTTTAAGTGGAAAGAATTTGATCATGTAAACAAAACTGTTTCTGTTTGAAAGGACCTTGTTTTAGCTATCTTTATTATTGAGCTTTGTTATCCCTTTTTAAATTTTCTAGACGTTTCCACTACCTCTACTATATTTTGGGAACCAAATCACGGGACTGTTCAGCACAAAGAAACTGAAGTATGGATAACTTTATTTTACTAGTGAGGTTAATATGATGTATTCTTAAAACTGTACTTGAATGTCAAATATTTAACACATTGTTATTGATTCTGGAAAAAAATGAAAGAACCAGAAAGCTTCTGTTACTAAATAAGATTACATCAGAGGTTTTAGTTTAAATTCTTTTAAGTTTGAAAAGAAAGAGTTTTTGTTTGTTTTGGGTTTCCCCCCTTCACTTTGATAATAGAAGTCTTAAAATGTTATAAAATGCTGTTATAGGAGATTTTCATTATTTTTCCAGACCTATAGTAGTGAAGAGGTCTTGGGATTTCAATTCTTTTACACAATTTATAAATACTATATTTTAGGCAAATTCTGTAAGCAAAATCAGAGAGTGGTTATGAGAACTTTTGTAGTTTTTCTTTTAACATGAGGTAAAGTAACATCAGATAGAACTCTGAACAAATATGATTAGTATTATACCAATGACCATAGAGGCAGCATATTCACTTTTAGAAAGAAGCAGTACTCTGCTCTGCAACAATACTGTTTTATTATCCTCTAACCTCTTAATTCTTGGCTTCTCCACTTGAGGAGTGTAGTTATGTATTAGGTGTATGTGATATTAAAATTATACACATGGAGAAGGCATTTAACAGAAATCCATGGTTTCACTACTTACACTGAAACTAACCCCCTGGCATATTAGATGATTGTAAAACAAAATGGGGAGATCTCTGAGAATCAGAGACAAAGTGTTTTTCATTTCCTTTTTCTTCAGACCCAGGAAATGTGAAAGAATGACCATGATGGTATCTCTGGGGCAGGGTTCATGGAAGTCAAATTTATCATGGGTGGGGTATCCTTTTCCATCTCATTACCCACTTGGAAAGAAATGTAGACCTGCTGCAAAGTGCTGCTTGTATAGAATTTGCTCTTTTTCATCCATTGTCATCCATCTATCCATCCATTCATTCACACCCTATCTTTGGTTGCCAGCTAAATATAAGGCACTTTGGAGTGAGATGGGATATATTCAGAAATAACTATATTGCAAGAGGCTGTGTGTTTGACTAGTGCAAGCAAAGTGCTCTGGTAATTTAAAGGAAGGCAAAAGTACTTCCACAAAAGGACAATCAGGGAATATTTCATGGGGTGAGATTATCATAGATGCTGTTTGGAGGGTTGGAGATGTTGTTTTGTGGAGGGTGGGTGGAAAATAAGTTCAGTCTACTAAAGAAGGAAGAAAGAGGTCTTTTAAAAACTAACATGGTTACTGTTCAGGGTGTTTGTATAATAGGTAGCGTAAAATTAAAAAGTGGCTGTTAACTAGCCTTTGATAATAGATATGTGATCTCTACCATTTTTAATAGGGAGCTTGATGGTTCTCACTTCTAGTAGTTTTACAAAAGCAATTCTTTCAGGCTTTCAAATAAGAATTACTTCTAGAGAGAAATAAAGGTTTAATCACAGATTAACCAATATGGAATGGAATTAACCAGCATAATGGAAGGAAGAGATTAGCATTATTTTAAGGTACTTATTTGGAGAGTCTTAGTTAAAAATAAATTGCTAAACTGTATTTTACCTAATTATATTTTTCCCTTTTTTAAATTTTCTGCAGCCTGCCAATGTTTACAGTTCTGAGAAGGTTCTCCATCCTGTTTACAATGTTTGCTGAAGGAGTTTTACTCAAGTGAGCTAAATTTCTAATATATCTAGTCTTTAACAGACTTTGGTCCTCTTTAAAAGGGGCCCAGAATATGTGAGAGAGTAAAATTACTTGTCTTGTTTCTACTTTATCTTTTGAGAAGTTTAAGCACTTTCTTCCTTTGCTATAGGAGTTGATAGTTTATGGGATCAATAGTTGGAGAGATTATGAAATGGAGTTGGAATCTGTCTGAACATGAGATATACTTTCAAGGATTCCTATACCTACTGTTGCCACTGAATGACGCTGGGTCAGAAACATCAGTATAGGTTTTAAATAGTGTTCCTGTCTTGGCTACTTTTACTACAAATGTGTGTGACCTTTTTCCACTTAAAGAAATTCTGATTTGCAAAAATTGAAGCTCAATAATGATAGCAAATATATGAATATGAAAGAAATGAATATACTCTTTTTGTATACGTTTTTGCTTCATCAAAGGGATTCTTTGAAATACCCAATTCCTTGGAAACATTTATAATATGACTGTTTAGGGGCGCCTGGGTGGCTCACTCATTAAGCATCTGCCTTTGGCTCAGGTCATGGTCCCAGGGTCCTGGGATCGAGCCCTGCATTAGGCTCCCTGCTCGGCAGGGAGCCTGCTTCTCCCTCTCCCACTCCCCCTGCTTGTGTTCCCTCTCTCGCTGTCTCTCTCTGTCAAATAAATAAACAAAATCTTTAAAAAAAAAATACTGTTTATAGCTTTTTTAAGGAAAACATTTTTTTTGCCTATGTTGCAGAATGAATCTGTGAATAACTAAAGGCACATGTATGCACTTTTTAATTATTTTATTTTGTAGGAAGACTTTTTCTTGGGGTATTAAGATGACCGTATTTGCAATGATTATTGGAGCCTTTGTAGCTGCCAGGTAAGAACATATTAAGACCACATTAGAAATTATCAACAGTTATTGATAATAATCAATTACCAATAAAAAAGAATTTTGTATAGGTTAAGTAAGAATCATGTCTTTGAAAAACATCCAAAAGACTCTTTGGGAAGTTAAATCTTTCTGGCCATATTAAGGTCAAGGCTGGCAAAATCTGATTCTTCTACTTATTGAGCACATACCATACGCCACACAATATGTTTGGGATTTTATATGTATTTATGCATTCTTTACAACACCTCTGAAAGATGTGGGTATAATTTTCCTATTTTTAGTTGAGGAAACTAAAACCTAAGTTCAGAAACTTGGTCAAGGTTACGCAGCTAATAAATGGCAGCACTGGAATTTGAATTTGTGCCTGACTCCAGAGCCTGTGTGCTTTTATAAATCATGTGGTATTCTTTTACTTTACATAATGCTAAAGAAAATAGTGTCTCAGAAAAGGCAAATGATAATGAATTATTTGCCTTGTGGTAGAATAATAATACTAGAATTTCTTTATTTGGCCTCACTTAAGATATATCACAAGTGCCATGACTTAGATGTTCTTTTAAATTACTGAAGCTTCTCCCATTGTTTTTAAGTTTCAGTTTTAAAATGGAGGGAGAAAGCGTATGCCCAAAGACTCAGAAAATTAAAGTGATGGCTAGAAGCCTTCTACATTTTTCTTGGACCAGGGCATACATGTATGGGTTTGCTAACGCCACAGATTCTACCTGACATAGATTTTCTGTCTGGGAGTTCAGTGTGCTTCTTGGATTGGCTCATTTACCTTCATCATTCCTGTAGTATAGGCAGGGGGAAATATTCTAAGTCAAATTCCACCCTAAATTTCCAAGTGAAATTTCACTCTTTAAAAAAAAATGAGAAAAAGGATAGAAAAATTGGTTACTAGAATTTGGTTATATAGCTGACTGTTTTTTCCTTTAAGTAATATAGCCTTCTTGAAGAAAAATTCTATATGAGCCTCTAACCTCTTTGAAGCATTTCCATAAAGCTGGTGGGATCCAGAATTGAACCAAACAACAGGAGTTCCTCAGGGCCAACCCTGGCCTGCAAAAAGTTTCTGAGGAGGATTGCTATCTGATCAGCCTTATCTAATCAGAACCTGTCACTTGGGAAAGAGATTGGGAAGAAGGGAGTCTGAAGTTAGAAGGTTGTCAGGCTGCTTGGAAGAGGGGTTATATATTGGGCTAGTTCTGCCTAAAATTGTAGGGGCATATAAAGTTCCTCAGAAGTCTTATTCTATGTACTAGTTTAGCTATAAGTACATAGTATCTTTGCACAATCCCAGGATGTTGGGCCACTATTTTAGCTAGGGTGCTAAAGTATATTGAGGGCATGCTTTCTTAGATTTTCATCATTCTGTTCAGTTTACTAAGTTCTGATCTTGTGCCTGGTGCTCAACTAAATACTAGAAAACTTCAGTTTCCCTAATCCTGCTGGTTATAGCTCATAGGCTTTTTAAGCAGTCATTAAGGTATTTGAGTTCCTATTGTGTGCTTAGACACTGTTGTAGCTTGATTTCAGAACAAACTACAAATTATACTTCAGAAATTCCACCCAGTGACCCAAGCACCTGTACCACCTGCGTTTTGTGTGAATGAATCCTTGGAAAATGACATGTTAACAACTTCATCTTTTTGGTTTCCTTCTCTCTGAAATTGAGCTCTGATGCCTTCTTCTTGCTTCAGATGTATTATAATGGTGAATTTGGTTACTTGTTCTTGTTGTCTGACTTTGAATTCAGAGCAGTGCTGTTAACTGACATGATTAATTATTGCTAATGATTGTGTTTAAGCGTTAGTACTTCTCATATCTGAAGGCTTCCCTATTGAGTGTGAAATTGCAAATTATAACCAGGAATCAAATACTTGATTGTTTATATCAAGTATCAAATAGTTGATAAAATGTCTAATGTTCACTTACATAGATAAGAATATGTTCTTCCATTTATTGTACTTCAGACGTATTTAAAATTACATGCATGTTGTTTAAGCTATTAAAGTGTTGCTTGTGTTTTACAGCTCTGACTTGGCATTTGATCTCGAAGGATATGTTTTCATTTTGATAAATGATGTCCTGACAGCAGCAAATGGTGCATATGTAAAACAGAAGTTAGATTCAAAAGTAGGTAGCAATCTAAATCTTTAAGAGATGTTTACTGATGTTGGGAGTAGTAATGTCAATTTGTTAGGAAAGAAGAATACTTAGGAGAGCTGGGAAAGACCTAGGGATCTCTGAGAGTAAAATGCCTGTACTTTGCTACTCACATAAGAAACTTTTTCAGTTATTAATTAGCAGTTAGATTTTATTGTTAGCTTTTCTGGAAGGGATTGGGTGACTATTGACTTTGGGAAAGGGTTGTAATTAGGGGTGGATTCATTACAGAAAAGTGTCATAAATGTTCATGGCTGTGTTCTAGAAGAGTTGGTGAGGGACCTGGATAAGAAGAAATATCTGGAAACCCTTGAGCAGATTTGAGGAGAAGTGAGTGTTGGAAGGGGCTGCAGAACAAGAATGGACTTTGTGTATCTGTCCCACAAATAATGGAAAACTTTAGGGAGCATTAGGATTGCTCTCTTTTAGGAGCAATGCTGAGTTCCTTGGCCTAGATCTCATACACATGAACTTTCCATACCCAGCCCTTTTCTCTTAACTTACAGCATGCATACAAAGGCTTTACAGATATTTTTTGTCAGACTACTATATACTTTGTATATATACACACTAAATTTTATTTTTAGATCAAGCCAGACCATCAGAAAGCAGAGAATTTGAGCCACATTGCTTTAGCTACGTTATGGCATAAGTTTGCCTTATTGTAAGCAGCTATGTGGTTCAATCGGTTGAGCATCAGACTCTTGGTTTCAGCTTGGGTCATGATCTCACGCTCTTCAGATTGAGCCCCATGTGGGCTCTGCACTTGGGGTGTCTGCTTGGGGTTCTCTCCCTCTCTCTCCGCCTCTCCCCCTGCTCACAGATGCAAGCATTTGTGCTCTCTCAAATAAATAAATAAATCTTTTTTTAAATAAATAAGCAGCTATGTAGAACTCAGCTGTATGTATTAGCATCGTTATTGAAGGAGCTGTCCTTTTTATCATGATGTATCCTGTGTAAGGACCCATATGAGATTTCACAGATGCCACCACAGTTTTTCCTGAACAGTGGTATATTTTTTATCTCATAATTAAATCTTGTAACTGACCTTGACTTTATCTTATTTCCCTACCCATGTTTCCTAAATCACATGGCCTTACCTGCTTGGTTTTTAGTCTGCTCTATATGTGCAATAATTCTGAAATTACTTTAGGTCATTTTTTTTAGTTGTTACCATAAATACAAATGCTCAACTACTCAATAGTACTATTAGTGTCAAGTTTGTATTGTCTTGGCAGGGGACTTTGCCTGCTCCAGAAAGAACCATAGAATGAATGGCCATTCCAGTAGCTTTCATTATTTTCAGAGAAGGTTTATTTTGAAGATCTTTGAAGAAATGGGGTCAGTGTAGATTGTTTCCAACAAATTTTCCTTAAATATACCTTTATATCTTGTTCTCCATTTATTTGCCTTGATGACTTTGTATGATGATTGTATTTTAATGGAAGCTACTACTATTAAAATTTTTTATCTTTTTGAAGTAGTTAGACAAAAGGGAGCAGTTAGAGATTAGTTTTTTTTTCCTCAGCCCATTTGCTGCTTTGGGAAATAGGTACCAGGGATAACATTCCATTTGTCCAGCAGCCTCAGCTGTCTAAAACAGTACTACCCAATAGAATTTTCTGTGTTGATAGAAATCTTATGTATCTCTACTGTTCATTAACGGTAGCCACCAGTCACATGTGGCTGTTGAGCACTTGATAAGTGACTGGCACAACCAAGGAACTGAATTAGTAGTTTAGTTATAATTAGATTGAAATAACTGCAAATGGCTAGTGGCTACTGTATAGGGCAGCACAGTCTAGAGTACATCCTAGAACCTAGAAAAAAGCAAAGCGTGTTTCTGAGTATTTTATTCCCAGGAGAGTCCTTCAGTTCCTCCCTTAAAAATGACTTATCTTGCATTAGAACTTTTAAGCATACTGATCTGCTTTTCATACTTAATGGATTAGGAGCGGCATACTAGAAGATGGAATTCTATGTAGAGGCAGAGATCCGGTATAAAAGGTCAGCTAACAACAAAAGATACAAATAGGAAAACTATAAAAGTCATAAGTACTCAAAAATGGAGCAATTAAATGACATTAAGGGCAATATCATATAAGAACACAATACAGTAGTGCATATTTATGGTGACACCTTAAATTCTGTTTTAGTTGATGTACTACTCTGTTTAAGAAGGCAGGGAAAAAGATACTCAAAATAGTTAAAATGAGAAAATAAGAACAATTTGACATTTAAGTTTTGGGTATTTGTGTTATCTGGATGGGGTGTGTGTGTGTGTGTGTGTGTGTGTGTGTGTGTGTGTGTGTGT